ACGGTCTGACAGCAACGGGTGGTGGTTACATTAGGGAAAAGCTACCCCAATCCTGCCGTCTGCCAGCCTCTCCTTATTTATCCGAAACAATGCTTTTGTTCAAAATCATCTAAAACACACCCCACCCCTTCCCTCAAGGACAAGGGCACTTCAAAGAGTTCACTGAAAGATAGTATTTTTTCGTTGCGTTCTCTCACAAGCTTTCTGGCATTCATATGCACTACAATAACTCAAAGTCTTAATGGGATTCCAAGCGTATAGGATTGAAGAGAGGGGGGATAATATAATCGGGGTCCTCAAATTGAAAGTCGAATCTACCTAGAGACCATGGCTACCTCACCAATAAAACTGTGAATGCCAACTGCTCAGAACTGCAAGCCCACCATCCACATGGCCATAACGGAGGAGCTCTCGTCTGCTCCTAGTAACCCCGGAAGTGGAAGGTCTGCTGAGGGAATTTTATTCAGGGGAGGACTACGGGCAAAGCAAGCGATGAGAACCACAGAAGCTCAGATAAGATGGTCTCCCACTGCAAACTGTGAGGGAGCTTAGCTAGTCTCAGGGACTGTACACTGTGAGCAGGCTAACACAGAGGATGGTGGAGGATGGAGAAGAGATGGACAACAGAAACACAAGCCGGGTGCTGTGCCGACACGCATGGCGAGGGACAGTTATACTTCAGTCGCAGAGGGAGTGTCCTGCAATACTTGGCACCCACCAGCAAAGGTCTCTCTCGGTGCAGCTTGAGAGCCCCGGCAGTTGGGGCACTCAGGAAATCTCACCCCGCACCGAAGAACAGCAGTGGAGGGAAATAACAAAGTGCACGATCACTGAAAAAAGTCTTGACGTGCATGTTACATAACGAAGACCTTCTGTAAGTGTTGCGTGTTTTTCAAAAGATGAGTGTAAAGGAACCATACAGTGCCCCGGGGTCATTTATCCGAGGTTTTAATGTTGCGCGATCCGTAGGTCCTGGGTGCTAATGACGGAGACTATAGCTCAGCACTTACCTTCACTTACCTGGGATTTCTCCTTAACTGAAATTAGAAAGTGAGGGGGGAAACCACCTGAGATGGGCCCCTCCAGTACTACGAGCTAACTCAACTTTTCGGGGCTGCCTCTGTTCAATGTGCTTCGCCTGCCAAGCCCAGGCAACTCCATCGGAGGCTTCGTGATGGTGTAGGGAATGTGTTTAATGCTACAGTGAAGGGATCTGGCACAGTGAAGCTTAGGTTTATATCCACGCCTAAGTTAACCAGCTAAGCAACCAATGGAAGTGCCATGAAGCACCATTCAGTGGAATGGTGATTTCCTTCTCCCACTGGCATCTTGCTCATAGTGGCCATGTGCTATGCCTGCGAGTGCCCAGGCAGCGGGTCAGACCGCCATCTGCCCGGCGGCAGCAGTGTCTCTTGGGGGAACTGGCTAACTGCAGACCTGTCCCGCTCCCCTTTGTGGAGGACCACTTGTCCCTGAAGGGTGCTGCTTCGCTCA